ATTTTCGTTACTGAATTCTCAATGACTTATCACTAATTTCTAGAAATCAATCACCAAATTTCAGTGAAGCTTCGGTGAATTCTGTGACATGTCTCTGAAAAGCAAAAATAATTTTTCTCTGTTTCCTTGACATTATTTTGATCATTAGAATTCAATAAAGCCCTGAAGTTATAGTATTTGATCGAAGAAGGAGTTTTTGGCGATCCTGCTGCTGCTTCATTGGAGAATATTTCATTTCCATTTTCTTCAAATATCACATCACCAATCGCAACTCCTCATCAGTAAATAAATCCTCCTCACTGCCTAATTCTTCATCACTATCAGGAATTATACGATTTGGGCTCATTTTATCTGCTTCGAAAATCACCTTTTCATTTTTCAGTCATTCCATGTATTGACTATTCGGAGGTTAGATTTCCTTCCTTGTTATTCTCTTGAATAGGTGATGCGCATGCGCGTCATGCGTTATTTCGGGTTTTAGTTGAGTGTGGGTAGGCGCTCGAAACCCGCTACTTTCCAGTTGACTATAGTCAACTGAAACCCATGCGGTTACACGCACGTATCATATAAAATTTCTATATATGATTCAAACAGTTTTGCCTTCATCAACAACATATGAGGATACAAAAACTCAATAACTTATGAGAATGGAATAAATTACGTCATTTAACCCTCGATAATTTGCTAAATGAGCGCGGCGCCACCTGTTTTCATTTTTTTTTGTTTTGGCGTGTCTCGACGCTTAAAAATTCAGAAAAAAATTAGTTCCTAGTTCAGTCCCTTTATTAAGCGTTGGCGTTGTCCATTTTTTTCTTGGGGAATTTATTTAGGTAAAAAATCTGCGGGTGGCTGTACCCGTAATTTTACGTGGATACATCTATAGTCTTCCCTTTCCTTCACTGAACATTATTCATTGTATATATTTATATAGGTATATTAGAAGAATTCGGGATTTCGCACCGTCTCGTCATGATGAGACGTTTTTTATAATCTCGATACGTTTGAATTGTTATGTACAACCAAAATACCTAAACAAACGTTCAACATATTTCATTCACAACGAAATCATGACAAATACCCTTGCGAATTTTAACATGAATCCAGAAATTTTATCAATTTCGTGCAATAATAATCAACTGTCGGTATTTTGCCAACCAGCGCTAAGGATCCCTCAAAATTGCAATTTATTTCTTTAAAAAACTAGAGAATTTTCTAGAAACATCTAAACTTTTTTAGAAAAATCTGGAATTTGCTAGAAAATTCTAGAATGTATTAGAATTCCGATAGATGGAACTATTGCCGATAAGGAACTATAAGGACTCTGTCCCTAAATGCTCCCCCCTCCCATGATGAAAATATAGACGTATCCACGCCAAGAAAAAAGAAACATCGAGGGGACAGGGAGCCTATTCTCGAGTTGAAATCGTACGTTTTCGTCAGAAGGCCCGTAAACCGCGATCTAACCGAGCGAAGCGAAAAATTGTGTTCATCAAACGGTCCAAAAGTATTTTCTGACGAATGTGATTATAGGCCTCGCCTTCGGCTCGGCCTACAAAGCCGCATTCGTCAGAAAATACTTTGTAGACCTTGTGATGAAATAGTGTATTTCGTAACGAGTGCAAAAAAGTGTTTTTTGGCGAGTGGGAGGTTTATATCGCGAGCCGAAGGCGAATGATATAATCCCACGAGCTAAAAAACATTTTTTCACGAGTTACGAACAATATTTTTCATCACAATGTGGCGGAAATTGGAGTTTTAGGCACGCGGAGCGTGCCGAAAAGTTCACTTTTCGTCACAGCGTGATGAAAATAACTATTGAGTCCATCAAGTCGCATGCGGCCCATAACGCGTAGCATGAGTCGCATGCGACCTGGGAGTCTATTCTCGAGTTGAAATCGTGCGTTCGATTTCGGTAGGTCGCATGTGACTCATGGTACGGGCGGTACGGCTTACGGGCCGCATACGACTTGTCGAAGTCGAGCGTACAATTTCAATTCGAGAATTGGCTCCCTGCTGGGGCCATATTCTCGACGTTAGTGAATAGTCCTTCGTCCACGAATCGACGTTCGTTGACGAACTGCGTATAGTAGTTGTATAGCAGATTCGTTGACGATTGCCGATTTGTGCACGAAGGAGAATTCACCAACGTCGAGAATAGAGCTCCTGGGAGTCTATTCTCGAGTCGGTGAGTGGCTGAGCGTATACGTTTGACTCGATGACGAATTTATAATTATTTTGTAAGATAACAGAATTGTATATATAAAAATCGGCCATCTTCTAAATGCGACGGAAAATAATTCTTTTACCTTTAATTTTCCTTTCCGATGAATTTCTCTCCATGCAGGACTGGCTAAACTCTTTGGAGTCACCGCAGTCTCATCACAGGTCGTCGATATATGACTATAGCTGCCCCTCACCCATTTATTCTTTCCCCATTGGGACCTCTTACATCTCTTTGGCGCTGGCAAAGTCTCTCTCTTCAGAAAAACTCTTAATAGATCGATGCAATCATTGCCGACCTCTTCTTCAGTCAAACTTTCAATCAGCTTTGCCCCCTTCCCACCCACCCAACCAATCAAAACTGCCTCATGATTCTCGAGAACATCGAAACCAGTCAAATCCCTAGTCCAAGCCGCTAATTCAGCATCAGTCGTGGACGCTTTATTGTCCTCATGCCAAATTAATTGAAATCCTTGAACTCCTGGCTTCCACCAGGCCTCCCCAAAATCCAAAAATACTTTATTTATTAGTCCAAACCCTAACGACTCAATTGCAAGGACTAAGTTAGGTGGTAACGACGGTTCAAACATCTCTTCGTGATGTTCTTTTAGGAAACCGAGGGAACAGGTCACTATTACGCAATCTGCGAGAATTTTTCTGTCTTCCAAATTCAAAACCACCGGCGCTGAATCTGTCGATGTTTTTTCGTCCCATTTAATCTTTTTGACTGGTGAATTGAGCCTCAAATTTGCTTTTTTCAAACTATTAGAGATCAATTCAACAGCAGAACTGTAACCCTGCTTGAAAATTAAATGTTCAGGACCTCCGGCGGCTCGAAACTGCCCCCAATGTTTAGCAGATAATTCTTCAAGCTTCGAACACGAATTATCAATTATTAAAAACTTATAATTCCAGTCTATAATATTTTGTTTCAAATTTCTGTTGCTACGATCTCCTTTGGACCAAATATGTCGGTCTATTTCAAGTTTCAGGTGTGACCCGATGCTTTTCGGTATTTCTTCGTGCCTAGCTTCATTGTAATGAGTATATATTTCACAATCATCAAGAATATCTCTGATTAAATAATCTATTTCTTGAATTAAGTTTTTATCCAATTGCATTCCATCATTGCGTACGTAAATTCCTTTTCCTTCTGCTGATTCTTCTTCAGAAATTAAATTGTGATTTGTGCAGAATTTAGCTAATTCACTTTCACTTCCGTGGAGGAATTGTGCTCCTTCTTCTATCCAATTGTCGTTCCAGTAGATTGATTTTATCCTTCCTCCCACGTAATCTTGTGCTAAAGAATTCAAGCATTTGCAGAATGAACATATAGAGGGCAGAAACTAGATCGACAATGTCAATACATTATTTTATTTCTTTAATTCAATTCAATAATTCTTCAATTACCGTCATACCACGAGACAAGACGAGAAACTACATCTTCTCGTCTCGTCTCCTTGTTAGGAAACCATTCTCTCGTCTCGTATCGAAATGCGAGAGCAATTTCTTCTCTTGTCTTGTCGAGAATTGAGAGATTCTCTAGTCTCGTCTCGTCTTGTCTCGCCTTATCTCGTCTCTATAATCCAATTTGCTCGAAAAAAAATACACAGAGGACAGAGAGGGGCATGCTCTCTCGACTCACGTCTCGCCAGTCGTTTCTCTTGTTCTCGAGCGACTTTTCTCGTCTCATTTCTGTCATTGTCTCGAATGACTCTCCTCGTCTTGTCTCGTCATGTCTCTCGTCTCGTTTGTCTCATCTCGTCTGGTTTCTCTCGCGTCGCGCGGCATCACTATTCAATTGATCAATACAGATTTTTTTTCGACTGAATCTACTACAAACGCAGGTTTTTAAAATTCGGAAAAAAACCATCTATCTCGAATTTACCTTCGAGCAAAATATACTCATGAAACTGATGATCCTCCAGTGCTTTAGCTGCTGCTAAACCTGCAATACCTGCGCCCACGATTACTATTCTAGTCCTCTCGACTTTTGTTCCTCCCATTTCCTGCGATTCACTTTTCATCGATCCGTCCGAGCTGTTATCCATCTGTCTGAATGAAACGGTCTCTGAGGTGTACGTTTTACGTTTTATTCTACCCAATTAGTTTCTTCATTTTTTAGAAATTATAGAATGGTCGGAAAGCAGATGCATCAGATAAGAAGTCACTTTGTCTAAAATTTTATCATTATAACTCAACTCCTTCATAAGATATATGCAATTTCATAATTTTTCGGTGGATAGTGATCTCTGGTCTCGAGGTGGATGGAATCACAATTTAACAGAGCATTTTTCATAGGAAAAATTCCCTATTCGTCTCGCAGTTTTTCCCCGATATAGGGTGAAAAAGTACGGAAAATCTAATTCGCTTCACGATTACTTGACTTAATCGGTAATTTTTCTCCAAGTTTCTTCTCCGTATACTAAAGTTTCGCGATTTTCTTTCCATTCCGAGATATTCATCGAAATCGGACTTCCGGATGAAGCTGATTTGAGCTGTTTTACCTCTTCACTACTGAAATTCTAATTTTTTTTAGGCAAGATAAGTATTATTGTAAGTTCTGTATACATATCTAACAACCATCACGATTAAATTCCTTGGCACCCGACTGAAAAAAATTTTAATTTGCAATTGTCACGTTTTCCCGCGAGATATTCTCTATTAAAGATTTTTTTCTGTAAATTTGAGGGTCACATACTACATCTACAAATTATTAATTTCTATCTGCACAAAAGTTTCTATAATTCCCTACCATTATATAATTTCCTCTAAAATCATAAACTCAAGGTCTAAATTGACCACAAACTTTCGTTCTTCAATCGCCCCACTTTCAAATTTCTTCGAGTGCCCATTACCGATAGACCCGCCAACAAACTTACTAGAGAAATGTTTAGATATTGAATAGAAACGAATACTAACCTCAATGGTTGTCTTGTAAGAGTTTGTATATAATTCTTATCAATCTTATCACACCCACACACACACACACTTATAAAATACCCCAGTTGTGCTGAGTACAATTACACACTGCAGTTGATTTTTTTCGTTTACGAAAATGCGCAGTGCTTCAACGGCTAAAATGGTAGTTCAAAATAATAGAATACATCTGGACTTATTTTCACTTGATCTAAGCACACCGCAGCAGTTGTGAGTGTCTGGTTAGTCACAACTACTACGACCTCTACGATGTCTTTGAACTTTTCGGCTTTGGTTCCATCCCCTCCATTCGGAGTTCGGTCGCTTTCCTCCTATTCTTCATGTATTCAACAATTCCATTCATAAAAGCAGTGACGTCGCCCGAAGGGATAACGATCGGATTAGCAATCACGTTAGCCAGCAAGCCAACGAAGAAAAAGAAGAAGCAGAAGAAGAAGAAGAGGAAGAAAAAAGTCTCATTGTTTCTGTGATCGCTGGAATACGTCATCGTCTGTAGGTCAAGTATGAACTACCAGTCTAGGATAAGAAGAATTTTGCCTCCTAGTTCTGTGTATGGCACTCATGTCATCTTGCGCAGACACGTGTGGCGACATTTTTCTACGTAAAGGCCACCATACAAGGACGTACGGGGTACGCGGACCAGCCGAAATTGAGCCTCCAAGAGACCAAGTTCGCCTGTGTGTGGAGGGTCACGGATCAGGTCCGGCAGACCGGGTCCGTGGTGCGTGGTCTTTCAAGACGGCTTGAAAACCGGGTCCGTCGCGTACCAAAATTGCCCTCAAGTTCGTCCGTGTATGGTGACAACGGACCCGGTACGTGGACCGGGAGCATTTGCGCATACGCTATCCCCAAAGAAAAAATGAATAGAATCTATTTTCCTTTAATAATATTCTTGTTTTTATAATAAAGTAATATTAAATAATTCGTCAAATATATTCATCATTCCCCTTGATCCAAATTATGAATTCATTGATTAGAAATTGAATCATTTTGCACGCGACAAAGAGTAATTCCTAATTTCTATGGAATAGATCTTGGATAGGATTCTTATAGAGAATTCATGCAGAATAAGGGAATTATTGGTTTCCCCTGAATAAAATATTTTCATTGAAATACATATATGGAATTATCCATTTACAGTGAGAATATTGTTGAAATGCATACGAAATATTAAAATGAAGACTTTTATTTCATCTTTCATCATTTTTCATCATTTTTTAAGTAAAACCAAAAATATTCGATGATCGGAATCCTCTTAATCGAAGAGATTCATCGCGGAATTGTTTAAAATCATATGAAGGTATAAATATCGCAGACATTCTGGTCGTTCCGTGTATGGGGGTGTACAAACCACAGACCGTGTCCGCACGGACCGGGTCTGCATACCCCGTACGTCCGTGTATGGTGGCCTTAATATCTATCTAATCTCAGCGGAGCAACGAACGACTGACAACGACGTCGTCATAGTACAATTAAGGAAATTTCCTGACAGAAACAAGTCTATTCTTTACAATATTAAAACAAATCCACATATCGAGAAAGTTGTTCAAAAATATCTCGGACTCTGCCGGAGATAGAGACATTCTCATTCCCATCTTTTTTCTTAAAGCAATACGAGATATAGAAGATAGGTCTGACAGGAAATTTTTCTTCCTCACTTTCATTCCGAGTTATTTGAAAGACGAAAACCAATTTTCTTGGAAAAAATGATTTTGCTTCCGAATCGAAGCATTGTATTCCTCAAATCCGAAATTTCCAGTTTTTTGTGGTAGGATAACTACGTTTGTTCTCAGGCAATAGTCTGAAGTTACATCGCCACGTGGGATTTCAACTGCCAGATTTAAGGATTAAAATACTTCAGACGAATTTGCACACTGGCAGAGAATATGTACCGAAATTAATGAAATGTTTTGATAAATAAAAGCAATTTTACTGAAAAAATGCGGAATTTATCATGAATTGTTTACTGCTTTCGATTAAAACTGTCCTACCCCATTTAGAACTACAAGATCTATCGCTCTCGCGCGCGCTGATCTATTCATTTGTTGAAATGAAGAAATGGAATTCGTTGAATTTCATTTTCTCATGAATACCTTATAAATATTGATAATGAATCAAAGAGAATTCGACTAATGATTGAAGTGAATAGCGAAGTAGAGTAAAAGAATCTATAAAGAATTTTTCATTTTCAATTAATTATCTTCAATTTTTTTAAATAATCGGTCCCCATAAAAGGACAGAATTTATTAATTTCACCGATAATATATATACATGTGAAATATATATATATATATATATATATATATATATATATATATATGACGTGAAAAAAGTGCCGATGTCTTCTCTGAATAATTGTCCAATGCTCTGGGTAACTGCCGAAATCAAGACAACTTCCGTTTTTTAAATCCTCTGGCCAATGATTGAAGAGGCAGCTTCAAATCCAGACGTTCTTCTTTTTTCTTCTCTCTTCTTCTTTCGTTTCAAAGTTCAATATCAATTAGACAATACAAATGAAAAATGGATAACAATGTGTATGAAAAAGACCATCACAATTTTAAATCTCATCTCTCTATATAAATTTTAAAAAAGGCAAAAAATTCAGGGGACGCTCAAATTCAGGGGACGCTGGGTGCCTATACGGGGGTTCCTATATGGGGAGGTGCCTGTATTTATAAGGGATGTCTATATGAGGGGGTGGTCATAAAGGGGATATCGATATTTATGGAGGATTACTATATTAGGGGGTGCTCATATGGAAGATGTTTATGGGTACGGTCACACCGCTGCGGTCACACGGCCGGGGGGGGGGGCGAAGCCCCCCCCGGGTTAGCGAGCGGAGCGAGCAGGGGGCGAAGCCCCCTCGTAGTTTAATATTATTTTTAACCAGAAATTTATCAACTATTTTCATGATTTCTAGCTTGTTTTCGACAAATATCTTCTGCATATTATCCACAGGTCCTACTTGAAATTTCCCCGTTAACTCTAAAGCCATTTCCTGTCTACCTGAACTATATAAGTTACATTCCCATAATACATGATCTAGATTCATATAGTTTGAACCACGAGGACAACTTGCCTGCATTGTGATATTCTTTCTAAAAAAATGACCGTTTAATAATGTATGGTTTGACTTTATTCTATTACAGCTGGTAATAAAATTCCTCGCCAAAGTTTCTTTCAATTTGGAGAACCATTGATTATTATAAGTAAAATCTTTACAGAATGTAAAATAATCCTTAGCCATAGAATTATCTCCTTTTGCCATAGAATTATCACCTATTTTACACGAGTGAAACACGGATAATAATTATTCTCCTGTCACTCTTTGTGACAAGGTCGTTGTCCTCTGGCGTCATCTATTAGTTGCGTGCTCTATTGGATACACACATCATATCGATCATTCAGAACCCGACTTATCGACGGAGCACAGCAGACGAAAGCTATTTTAGAGATCCACATTTCACACTACTGTGTGGCACATGCATGTAGTTCGTGGTGCTATCCAGTGTCGCACAGTCGTGCACGTGTTGATGTTTATTTCGTATTTATTCTCTCGCTCAATTTAGTATCGAGTAATTTAAATATTCATATGGATTTATTTTGAAACATAATCTGAGAATTATTGATACAGCAGAAACATCAAGATGGTTGCAATCGGGAAGAAGAAGGTAAGACATGAATAGTTTTTCATTAATATTTTTTTTGGGTTATGTTTCACTTGACTACATGTGTTTTCCACTCAAATTCGATCAAAAAATGAAAAGCCGGGTATACGATTGCAGAATGAAAGCTAATGATTGTTTCGTGAATTATATTGCTCAAATTTTATGAATATTTACAAATATTGATTGAATATTTGTGGATTGTAGTCGTTCCTTTAAGAAGCTTTCAAAACTGCCGTTACAACCGGAATAAATTTTTTCTAAGTACTGTTTTACACCGTTAGCTTTCGAATTAATTGTTGTGATAATTCATATATGGCAATGAACAATATTAATGAATTTAAATACAGTGAAATTCTAGCCAAACTCTTCATTTTTGTCAGATAAAAATGTAGAAGACCTTCGAAATTCACTCAACAATTCTAATTTTCAATCTGAATTTCACCCATCATTCTATCTTGACAAAATCCAATTATTATCTAATTCAGTAGAATAATTTTGTCCGTAAATTTCGCCGTAAATTTCGTAGGTAAATTGCACAAATTTATTTTATAACAGTCAACAGTCAGGTGTTGAAATAAGATAATTCAATTTCTTAATATTCTCTTTCTCAATATTCTCTTGTATTTTTTCGTGTCATAGAACTATCATCCATTGAAATGTCATCGAAATTTTCGCATACTATTTCGTTCTGTTAAGTGATTCTACATTCAGACCCTCTCAAGACTCGAATTCATTTTCAAATATTCTGATAGAATCAAGATTGTATTGATATCAATTTCTTGAGTCATGATTAATTCCATTTTGATAAAAAAATTTTGACTGGTCGTTGAAAGATAGATTTTTGGAAAAATATTAATTTTTCGAATCTTTGCAAAAACTTAATTTTAATTGCTGTCAATGAATAGAGCTTATTAAAGTTTATATTCATGACAAAATTTATGAAATTCCATAGATCCCTTATAAAAAAATTTCGAAAAAAGTGAAAAAAAACCACATGTATACATACATACAGACACCATCCATAAATCGTACATTCAGACTTTTTAAATCATATTTAGTTACCCTAACACAAAAAATTGGAAACTTAAATTTGAACGAGTACAAAGTTTCCTTTTAGAAGCAAAAAGTATAGAATTTGCTCAATTGGTTATCGAGAGAATCGCAAAGAAATCAATCACATACACACATATACATATGGTCATGATGTAAAAACATTTTCTGATTTCTTAGCCCAAAAATAGTTATCATCCACTTTTGAAAAATCCAGTGTAATGATTTTTGAAGCCTCCATTTCGCTTATCGAGTAATGTAATATGATGTCTATGCATATTTTTTATGTACTGTAATCTTTTGTTTACAATAATTGTAAAAAAAGAGAAATTAATTTCTTACTGTAATAAAAAAAATATAGTTCTGTACAATAAAGAAGAATGCAAAAAGTAGAAGAGGAACGAAGAAGAGGATGAAGAGGATTATGACGATTCCGAATAAATTAGTCAATAATTAAATTCTCATTGTGAAAAACTTTGTTGAAACCATTCATTTTTCCTCCATTATTATTGAGATAAAATCAATGAAAGTGAGAAACGTTAATGTTTTACTATTCTGGCATCCATGGAAAACAATACAAAAATATAATTCCATTCGGAAGCAAAGATGATTAAAGGTAAAGATAACCTTTCGAACTAACATTAAAAATTATTCATTTTCAGTATCAAACAGGAGAGGGTGCGCAATTCATGACCCGTAAAGCAGCCCTGAAAAAGCTCCAACTGTCTCTCAGTGAATTCCGAAAACTGTGTATATTAAAAGGAATATATCCGAGGGAGCCAAGAAATCGGAAGCGTGCCCAGAAGGGAAAGAGTGGTATAAAAACACTGTACCACGTCAAGGACATTCAGTTCCTGTTGCACGAGCCAATAGTATGGAAACTGCGAGACTACAAAATATTCAACCGAAAGGTCGGGAGAGCGAAGGCGATGAAGGACTTTTCAGCAATGAAGAGATATCTGAATAATCACCCTACCCTGAAGCTCGATCACATCGTCAAGGAGCGATATCCAACGTTCATTGACGCCTTGAGGGATCTGGATGACTGTCTGACACTTTCTTATCTATTCAGCACATTCCCATCGATGGCACACGTCCCCAGGGATCAATCAGCGCTGTGCAGAAGGCTCACCATCGAGTTTATGCACGCCTGCATTGTGGGAAAATACCTGAGGAAGGTTTTCGTCTCCATCAAGGGGTACTACTACCAAGCGGAGATCAAGGGGCAGACCATCACCTGGATCACCCCTCATCATTTCTCGTTCGAACCTCAGTCGAAGAATGAAGTTGATTTCCGAGTCATGTCGACATTTGTTGAATTTTATATTACGATGTTGGGATTTGTCAACTTCAGGCTCTATCATCAGTTGAACCTACATTATCCACCCAAGTTTAATTCGTATGGTGAGTGAATTGTTAGAGATTTCTGGGGGTTAATTTTTCCAAAGTAATGAATACTCTCAACTCAAATTTTCAAATTCGATTTTTTTTTAGGGTATATGTGTACTCTTTTGGGTTATAGTCTCTTCCCTTTCCGGAATATTTATTGGTATTCAGGCTCTTTTTATTTTAGATAAAAGATAGTTAGATCGCTAACTATTTTTTAAGAATAGCGATCTCACAACATTCAAACCCACATTTATTCGAGTTAATTCAATTACAAAAAAACGAAACTCCAGTGATCGGTATTCTTTCACCAAATCATTGCATTTTTTCCTCGTTTTGTCAGGAAAGTTTCAGGTTTTGATTACAATTTATCAAAGAAATTTTTTTTCAATATTTTGCGTAAGAGCACATGGTAATTTGTTTATCAATTTTCTCGTTAATGTACTTCTTTACTAGTTCAAAATTTCACTGAATTTTTATGCGCATTGAGGATATCCAAGTATCTTTTACAGCTTGGTACAGACCACACTATAAATTCAACTATTTTCAATCGTGAAATTTGTCAATTAAATTGCATGAGAAACATTTCAAAAAAATTATGAATATTCATCGTCATTCACATTACGTTTTGCACTGAATTATTATTTTTTTAAACATTTGTTATTTATAAATGAATAATTGAAATTGTTTAAAATTTCGGAAATCTTATTTTTGCTTCCGCATGGAGTCGTTCAAATTTAAGTTTTGGATGTTTTGTGTAATGTCAACCGATTATGGTAAAGTTTTCCTTCAATTGTTTGCTAATGAATGTTTATTGATCGCCATTCATTAAAATTTAATTCATCGATTAGTTTTTTCAACTTTTGAATTTTTTCGAAAATCGGTTGTCCCATGGTAACTAAAAAAATTTTCTGACTTGATTGAATGATTGCTTAAAAAAATTAGTTTGGATGTTATTTTGACCGAGTTCGAAGATGAAGACGATAGCAATAAACATTATTTTGATTTCTTCGAAAATTAGCAAAAATTTTATATTTTTTGAAAATCAGAATTCCGAAGATATCTTTGAATATCATGCTTCAAATGAATTCAATCACAGCTTAAAATGCTTGTTTTAATGCCATTAAGTCAAAGTTAAAAGATTACGATAGCTATATTGGTTGATTTTATTATTATAATGATTGTTGAAAATTTCGAATTTTTCATGAATGTCCCTAAAAGTGAGCTTTTTGATGGTTTCTTCAAATATGATGTTTCAAATTCATTCAAGTATTCATAAATAAAATGTTTCTATTAACATTTAATCGAAGAGTTGAGGGGAGAAGTAGAACTGTAAAAAAGACAATCGGCTGTATAGAAGACAGCGATAATAAGATTAATGATAATGATAATATTCAGCTAAGTTGAAAATCTCACAAAATTAGTTAAATCTTATTCAATTCAATAAAATGAGATAAACAACAAATTATCCATGATAGAAGGAAATTACGTGCAAAATAGCCATTCGGAAGCATATTGCTAATTTATTATCAAAAATAACAAAACTATATGCAATACAAGAGCAATTTCCCCCTTGTCCTCAGGTAATGACGAGAAATCACTTGTCGACGAGGAAGCCTACGTATCCGAGCGTATAGGCGCTCTGAACATCCCCCTGATCCGCCTGGACCCAACGACCCAAGCCGCTGAGGAAGAAGACGTTGATCTCGACAACTTCTCCACCGAGACCGACGAGACAAAGCTCGAGGAGGCGCGTGTGGAGGCAGAAAAGCTCAAAAAGCTGAAAACCCTCTTCAAAGGCAAGAAATTCTTCCTGAATCGCGAGGTGCCACGTGAGCCACTGGTCTTTGTGATCAGATGTTTCGGCGGGGAGGTCTCCTGGGACAAGCTCTCCTTCGTGGGTGCAACATTTGACGAGAACGACGAGTCCATTACTCATCATATCGTCGACAGACCCAGGATGGACAAACAGTACATCTCGAGGTACTACGTTCAGCCCCAATGGGTCTTTGACTCTGTGAATGCTAGGGAACTTCTTCCAGTCGAGAATTACCTCATGGGGGCAGTGTTGCCCCCTCATTTGTCACCTTTCCACAATGCTCAGTTGGATCAGGTCTACATGCCTCCGGAGGAACGGGCCCTCATCGATCCTTCGTTCAAGTTGAATGTTGGAGGCGATGAACAGTCTGAAGACGAAGAAGAGGGTCAGGAAGAGAATGACGACGAGGGTGGGGAGGATGAGGAGGAGGAGGAGATCATCGAAGCAACTGATGAAGACGAGGAGACAGAAGATGATGAGGATGAGGAAGATGTTGAGGATGATGAAGAGCAAAAGGTTCAACCCAAGAAGGACACAAACCAACAGAGGAAAAAGGGAGGGCAGAAGCAGATGGCGAATGACGAGGAAGATAATGAGGATGATAAGGACCAGGTAAAGAATACTAAGAACGACAGAGAGCGGGAGAGATTGGCTAAGATGAAAGCGATGAAAGTCAAACCTGGTGCAGTCCTCCAGGAAGACCCTTGGGCCAAGGCGAAACAGGAGAAGCAGGAGTTTCGACTTCGCGAGAAAATGATTAAGAAGAAGCACAGGAAGTTGTATAAGAGCATGATGAAGGGACGTGAGGACAGGGCTAAGGACATTTGGTTGTTGAGGAAGAAGAGGAGGATCCATGAGGAGGGAGAGAAGGAGAAGAGGAAGGACGAGAGAAAAACGAAAAAAATCAAATCTGCTTAATAAACATTTTATTTTTTTATTATTAGTTGATTCGAGAGAAAGTAGGTGAATAAATGGAAAATAATGAACACAATTTGTATTGTATTTTTTTAATTTTCATGTTTTGACAGTTGTGAATCACAGGTGGATTCAACGAGAGGAATATCAGGTGAAATATAAGTACATATTTTTTATTGTTATTTTACATCGTTTCGATCGGTTGAGTATATTGCGATGATGATCAAAAGACTTTAAAATGCTGAGAGCTCACCATTCTACCCGACCGGGATTTGAACTCGAAACCTTGCGCACGTGAGGCAACGATCTTACCCACTGCGACAGACTTGAAATATTTAATTGAAATACTAAATAAAAAAATATTTTAAAAATTGAAAGAGCTATCGACTTTCTCATTTGACGTATTGTAAATAAGGAATGTTGTAAATGAGAAAAAGCACAGGAAAATGTGCATGAAGAGGGAGAGAAGGAAAAGAAGAAAGAAGAGAGAAAAACAAGGAAACTGAAATCAGCTTAATAAACGTTTCATTCCTTCATTATTAATTAATTCGAGAAAAAATACCTGAATAAATTGGAAACAACGAACATAATTTGAATCATGTATTTTTTTATTTTCATTTTTTTGACAGTTGTGAATCACAGGTGGATTCAAGCAGAGGAATATCACTTGAAATATTTAATTGAAATATTATAAAAAATATATTAAAAAATTGACCAAGCTATTGACTTTCCCCTTTGACGCATTGTATTCCTTCTAATCTCATAAAGGTATAGTTTTTTTTCTTCATTCGTTTGTCGCTTAATTATCGGTTGAGATTACAATGGTATAAAGAATCATATAAATGTAAAGATCCTTGAGCCAATGCGAAGCAGAAGAAGCAGGAATTTCGACTTCGTGAGGAAATGATTAGGAAGCACAGGAAGTTGTACATGAAGAGGGACAGAAGGAGAAGAAGACGGAAGAGAGAAAAACGAAGAAACTGAAATCAGCTTAATAAACGTTTCATTTCTCCATTAATAATTAATTAGAGAGAAAATGGATAAATAAATTGAAAAAAATGAACACAATTTGTATCATGTATTTTTTTTATTTTCATTTTTTTGACAGTTGTGAATCACAGGTGGATTCAAGGAGAGGAATATCACTTAAAATATTTAATTGAAATATTAAAAAAAATATTTAAAAAATTGAAAAAGCTATCGACTTTCTCATTTGACGCATTGTATTCCTTCTAATCTCATAAAGGTATAGGTTTTTTTTTCCTTCATTCGTTTATCGCTTAATTATCGGTTGAGATTACAATGGTATAAAGAATCGTATAAATGTATAATAATATTTATATTTCTATATATTTATATTTAATGACGCCAGCTCGCCGGAGAAGCGATTTTTCATTTTTATCAATTTTTTTTCACATTTTTTTATTTACTTTTTATTCCCCAAAAAAAATTATAAAACGGTCCTCCGTGCGAGCCGAAAGTTTGAGCTTTTTTTTGAGTTGCGCGTTCTTTCACATTTGTTTTATTTCTTCTCACACATTTGAGTAGTTGTATTTTTAATCACTTGAATCGTGACGTGAATGTTCATTTCTTGTATAAAAACTTTTCAAGCTGAATTATCACTGGTAATGACGATAAATGCTGAGGAAATTAAATTTCGGAGCTATAAAATTTTTTTTCACTTGAAAAAAAAAACCATAAAAATGGAAATCATTATCATCAATGATAATTGAGCTGTTTCGGGGCCACGATTTGTGCCAGATACCTATTGCAATACTTCAAGAGCCTTTCAAAGTGTTCATGAGGAAAAAAAAAATTATGAAGTAAAAAAAAATTAATTAATAACTAGGAAAGACTCTCAAGGTGCACTAAAATGGCAATTAAAATAAATGTGAACTCTTGAAGATTCACGTTACTGACACAGATCGTGGTCCAGGGGACTATCTAAACAACTCTAATTCTCCAATTCTCCTTCAAATCTCTTCATCATTGAATTATTATTTTTAATCGTGACGAAATCGATGAGAGCGCTGGCAGAAATGCTTGATATGCCATTGATTCGAAATCAGTCGTTAGTATTTTGCTTTTATTCCCTCACCCATTTTAATCGATTCATACAGCATCCATGGGATGTCGATGAATCTGAGCATTGGGTTTATGTTATTCCCTGTGGTGTCCTGAACACCCTAGGGCACTGACGAAGGCACAGTTCACAAGTCTTCCTAGGTTCTTCTATTTAAATAAATTCGCCTCCCTCATCGTCCTTTAATGCAGCATTTTGGCACCAGGAAACGCGCTTATTCTTCATTCATCGTTCATCATCCCTCTGTATCTATCTCCTAATATAATATTTATATATAAATGTTAAACGTTTACGCTTTGAACCACTCACTCCGGTACTGGAAACAAAAAAAATAAAAAAAAGATTGCACACTGTTTAAATTGTCTGTGTTCGGCGTCTCGTCGCGAATTACGTCAATCATTTTGAAATTTTTTTCATTCGTTCAGATTCACTTTTATACACACGCTAGGCATATTCACGTAACATTCATTCTCATTTTTTTCGTCTCTATGAAGTAATTTTTCGATTTTTTAAAATGATTTTTGAAGAGGAGAGTTATTCATCGCGACTTTAGTCGAGGTATTGTTGATTGGCTCATCTCCTCCTCTTGGCTGTTGCTGCGGCAATCATTTGCCGTAAGAGCGGCTCCGGCGTACAGACGCGTGGATCACAATTCATATTACCGTCGCTTCCGCATCTGCAAGTAATTCAGAGTCAACAATTAGTGTACATATTTCGTTGGCAAGAAAAATGTAATTATATTTCGAAATGTCACTCCGATTTTTTTCCTCCGGCAATTATTTTTCCTTCTGGATGGAGGCATTGTAATTGTTCAAATTTAAGTTTCGGATTCTTTGTGTTAGGGTGAACAGTCCCATTGCGGAACCTCTCTGGAATTAATGGAACACTTGAATATTTTTCCAGATTTCCCGAATATTTACCTATCTATCGAAAGGATTTTTTTTAATCAAGTCGATATTTCTATCCATGACATAAGAACATATTTGGTGGTCTTTCTGCTGTTTCCTGCTCAATAATGGAAATAAACCCTGCCAGTAGTCATTTTCAGTTATTTTGCGACAGATGAGTAGTTAAATGTGACAGGTGTGACCGTTAATGTGCCGAACAAAGTTACTTGGGTTAATAATCATCAAATGTAAGTCCAGACTAATATTGATCCTAAGAGCTTCATTTTTTCATATTTTTGTATTAATTTTATCCGAAAGTTCTTATTTCTACGAATATATGGATGTTCCGCCATTTGGGTCGGGTTTTCATGGCATTTCCAATCGACGGAACACTGATGTTTTCGTTTGGAACCTGCCGGAGTGGTTCAGTCAAAAGTATATAAATAATTGATAAGTTGAAAATATAATTACATTTATGTTTCTATTCCTTGTTAAATTATTCTGATAAATTCATATACGAAAAAAGTCGAGTTATGTGTTCATGTGATCGACATTACTCATTTTTACGTTTGTTCACAAGTAAGAGTGTCTTTGCATAATACAATTCGCATCATAATTCCAATTTTCAATTATAATCTGAACTTGTTGACGTTTTTCTATAAAAATATCCTTGTTACTTCGGGTTCCTAAAATTTCACTGTCTCACAAAGTTCTAATGTTCCGTCATTGGGCGCACGATGTTCCATGTTTGGCAAAAGTGTTCCATAATCGGTCTTTTGGACTTGAACATAATTTTTCATTTTTCCCGATTATTTAGCATTACATAATGTGTTTTTCTTTTTTTTTTCCTGAAAACCACTGAATTTGGAATCGAGGACTATTTTTCTATATATTTTTAAACACATAATTTTTTTTATTTTTAAACAATTGTCTGAATCTCCGAGGAGTCTTGAGTGTTTCATAATCAAACTGTTCACCTTACATCAATTTATTATGAACCAAAAAGTCCGAATTGAATCTTTTTTTTTCAAAATGTAGGTGTTGTTGAGCCGCATCCATCGACATCAATTAAAATTTCATCCGTATATTAGATTTGTAGATTTCTCTATTTTTAAAAAATCGGTTGTACCACCAGAACTAAAAAAAGATGTTCTTAATTCATTGAATGATGACTTAAAAAAATTCTTGGGATGTCTCTTCGACCGAGTTTGAAGATGAAGGCGATAATTTTAATCGTTGTTTTGATTTTTATGAGGATTTTTGTAAATTTAGTGATTTTTGTAAATTGCTCTGAAACTGAACTTTCCGATCGTGTCAATTGTTAAACTATTGATTATATACTGTAGGAGCACATGATGTAAGCTAATTTCTTATCAAAAAACTATACTATATTGCTATAAAAGCATGGCTAGCCATATCCATGAATCATAATTACTGTTAAATTATTAAATTATCAATTAGTTAATATGACTTTTAAATTTTAATTATTGAAGTAATCACCAATTTAAATAGTCAAATTTGGAATCATTCATTAAACAGTAATTAAGTTAGGACGATTGAAGATTATTTGGATGATCGGAAATCCCTTATAAGAAATTTGTCATCATCGTCTTAATAAAAAATTTATAGTTCCACATTTTTAAATATTTAATTCATCATCAATTGGAAATTTAGATTATCAATTATTTTACTATTTCTAAATTTCGATTAGTATATTCAAACCTTGATTAATGTAAGTCGGAAATTCTTTTAGTATTGACAAATCGGAATCGGATCTTACGATAGTTTATCGTGAAACCAATTAATATATAAAACTCATGATCAAATTTTAGACTTGATCAACTTACCTGCAGTTTAAGCAAGGTCCTGAGGCTACTCTTATGACTTCTCCAACAGCATACGTCCGTCCATTCACTTGACATCCACTTCGTTTTGTAGCTCCTTTATAAGCGTGCGAGAGGAAGTGAGGTGGTAAAGTTGTAGTTGTCGTAGTGGTGGTTGTCGTGACATTGAGTGACGTTGCCATCGACACATGACACTCGTAACGTGGACAACAGAAGCCACTTATCGGCTCCTCATGGCATCCGAGTATCGGTGGTGGACAGCTCTGTTGTAGGCAGATGATGTCGCTGCGGAAGCAGAAGCAGAAGTCGCAGGGATCGTCTCTTGGAATTTGTTGAGCTGAGACGTAGACCTTTCCACCGTATCGACAGGTGCCAGGTCCATAAACCTGATCATCATCGCCGTAGTCTTCGTCGTGATCCAGATAACTTCCACTATTAACTGGGAAATTTGGACTCTCTTCACCAGTCGTTTGCTCTGGATACTCTCCAGTCTGGTGCGGTGGGAGGGACGTGCTTGATGGCAGATAAGTCGGGTGTTGAGCTGGTTCTTTAGGCTCGTGCTCGATGGGGGTGACTGTTTGCTGAAGATCTGGCTCCTCCGACTCGTCTGGGAAGACTGGCACTTGGACTTGTTGCTGGTCGTCGTCGATAGGTTCTGACGGCTCCGCAGGCTGAGGAGACGAACTCGTTTCCTCCTCAGGCTCAACTGGTTTCTGCTCGATTTCAGGTTCCTGACTCTCCTGTGCTGGTGGGGCTTTGGTTGCTGCTGTTCCTTCACCACTGAGGGGAGTCTCAGAAGATTGTGGGGTTGTTTCTACCTGGGGTATTTCCGGCGCTGAGGTCTCAGAAGTCTCTTCTGCGTGTTCAGTAGGGTATGTCGTCGGTTTCTCTTCCACCGCAGGTGCGGCAGGGGAGGTTGGCAACTCAGCAGCTTGCGTGGAAGATTCCTCGGGAATTTCCGGAGAACTTGACGATGATGGAAGTTCGGCACTCGATGCAGTGCTCTCTTCAGACGGCAGGGGTGAGGTGCCTTCTTCGAGAGAGGGAGAGGTTTCTTTGGATGGCTCTGAAGTGTCGCCGAGGCGAGTCTGCGTCGTCACTGGCTCTTCAACTGGCGGCTCCGTGGACTTTTCCACTCCGACTGAACCTTCGGTTGGTTTTTGCTCTTCAACGGGGATTTCAGAAGGTGTTTCTTCTACTACTGGACCTTCAGTGGGCTTTCCTTCCTCGGCAGGAGCTTCAGGGGTTTTTTCTTCAGCTACTGGGCCCTCAGTTGGTTTTTCTACTTCAATGGGAGCTTCAGTTGGTTTTGCTCCTTCAATGGAAGCTTCAGTTGGTTTCTCCTCTTCAATGGGTGCTTCTGTTAGTTTCGCCTCGTCTACTGGAGATTCCGTTGGTTTTTCTTCGGAAATTGGACCTTCAGTTGGTTTCTCCTCCACTGGGGCTTCCGATGGTTTCGCCTCTTCCACGGGCGCTTCAGTTGGTTTCTCGCCTGAAATTGGACCTTCAGTTGGTTTTTCCGGTTCTACTGGAGCTTCCGTTGGTTTTTCTTCCGGAGTTGAACCTTCAGTTGGTTTTTCCTCCGCAATTGGACCTTCAGTTGGTTTTTCCTCCGCAATTGGACCTTCAGTTGGTTTTTCCTCCGCAATTGGACCTTCAGTTGGTTTTTCCTCCGCAATTGGACCTTCAGTTGGTTTTTCCTCCGCAATTGGACCTTCAGTTGGTTTTTCCTCCGCAATTGGACCTTCAGTTGGTTTTTCCTCCGCAATTGGACCTTCAGTTGGTTTTTCCTCCGCAATTGGACCTTCAGTTGGTTTTTCCTCCGCAATTGGACCTTCAGTTGGTTTTTCCTCCGCAATTGGACCTTCAGTTGGTTTTTCCTCCGCAATTGGACCTTCAGTTGGTTTTTCCTCCGCAATTGGACCTTCAGTTGGTTTTTCCTCCGCAATTGGACCTTCAGTTGGTTTTTCCTCCGCAATTGGACCTTCAGTTGGTTTTTCCTCCGCAATTGGACCTTCAGTTGGTTTTTCCTCCGCAATTGGACCTTCAGTTGGTTTTTCCTCCGCAATTGGACCTTCAGTTGGTTTTTCCTCCGCAATTGGACCTTCAGTTGGTTTTTCCTCCGCAATTGGACCTTCAGTTGGTTTTTCCTCCGCAATTGGACCTTCAGTTGGTTTTTCCTCCGCAATTGGACCTTCAGTTGGTTTTTCCTCCGCAATTGGACCTTCAGTTGGTTTTTCCTCCGCAATTGGTCCTTCAGTTGGTTTTTCCTCCGCAATTGGACCTTCGGTTGGTTTTTCTTCCACAATTGGACCTTCAGTCATTTTTTCTTCCGAAATTGGTCCTTCGGTCGGTTTTTCCTCTGTAATCGGTCCCTCCGTTGGTTTCGCTTCCTCAACTGGAGCTTCAGTCAATTTCTCTTCTAACGTAGGACCTTCCGTTGGTTTCTCCTCAGCAACTGGAGTCTCGGACGGTTTCTCTTCAACTGGGATTTCGGTCGCGCCTTTCGTGACATCACCAGCTGGTGCTTCGGAAGTACCTTCCGTAGAAGATTCCTCCGATGGTTTCGTCTCCTTTTCAGTGGCACTTGGAACTTCGTCACTCGGTCGTGAGGTCTGCTCTTCAGTCGGGGCACTTGGGGTCTCTCCAGGAAGTGAAGTCTCCGTTACTGAGGGTTCTGTAGATTTCTCACTGGAGACAGCTGGCTCAGTTGTTTGCTGCTCAGGTGCGGGAGTTTCGACTTTTGGTTGTTCAGTTGATTCAGGTTTCTCCTCAGGTTTGGCTTCAGTAACAGATGGCTCGGTTTGCGCTACAGCAGGTGTTTCTGGCTGGGTAGTTTGGGGCACTTCGGCCTCTGTGGCTTGTTCTCCTTGTGCTGATTCCACCGGAGCCTCCGGGGCTGGAGTGGCTTCAGGTCTTTCTGTCTCAGAAGTCACTGGAGCTGCAGTCTCCGACGTCTTTAATGGCACTTCAGTTTGTTCTTGAGGTGGCTGCTCAGTCTGGGGCTCTTCAGGTTTCTCTCCCTCAGTTGCAATTCCCTCAGGTTGTTTCTCCTCACTTGGAATTTCCTCTGGTTTTGATGTTGCTTCGGTCGGGATCCCTTCGGGCTTTATTTCTTCCTCTGGCTTCGTCTCTTCCTCAGGTTTTTTCTCCTCACTTGGAACTTCTGTAGGTTTTTCCTCACCACTGGGGCCTTCCGTAGGCTTCTCTTCACTCGGAATCTCCTCTGGTTTCTTCACTTCAGCCTCGGGAACTGCTGATTCAGTTGCAGGCGCAGAAGTGGGCTCTTGGCCGGCAGGGATTCCACTGGATTCGGTAACCTCAGGTTTCGTCGTTTGTTCTTCAATTACGCCCTCTGTGGCAACCGACGACTCTTCCGGTCTCTCAGGAGTCGTGACCTCTTCAGCACCTGGAGATGATGCCTCAGTGGGGACCACTGGCATTTCTGTGACTTCTCCTGCAGGTTTAGTTGTCTCTTCTTCAGGTAATGTTGGCTGCTCAGGGGTGCTCTCTTTCCTCATCACCACAGGAGTCTCTTCGGCTGGGGTCACCTCTTCCTCAGGAATTTCTGATGCAGTGGTTCCCTCTTCAACTGCTGGAGCACTCGTGGGTTGTTCAGCCGGAGTCTCAGGGGCTTCAGTCGGCTTCTGTGGCTCCTCTGACACCTCTCCAGGAGCTGACGTGACCCCTTCGATGCTGGGAGTCTCCTCAGCAGGTTTCGATGGCTCTCCCTCAACTGCAGGAGATGTTGCCGCCTCAGGTGTCACTGGCGCCTCAGTTTGTCCTTCAGTTCCAGGTGAAGCTGCCTCGGTCTGGCCTTTAGTGATTGGCTGCTCGGTAGCTGGCGTCGCCTCCTCTGGTTTCCCCGCAGTCGGAGCTACGGTTTCCTCTGGCTTCTCAGTTCCTTCAAGTGGTTTCTCCCCTTCGGGCTTCGTCTCTCCAGGGGCTATCGTTGAGAGATCAACTTCAGTCGCCGGAGCGGTGCTAGGTCCCTCGGGAACAGCGAGTTCAGTGAAGTTTGATTCATCAATTCCCTCAGTGCTGAACATTCCTTGTTCTGTCGGGTGGGGCTCAGGTATCTCAGATGGCTCTTCTGGAGCAACCGAGGACGGTTCCTCTTCAGCCGCTGATGGAGGCTCTTCGGGGCTCGCAGGCTCCTCGGGAACAGGAGATGTTCCTTCCTCTTTCGGAATTTCAGGCGCACTTGTCTGTTGCTCCTCCCCTGGTGTCGGCTCTTCAACTCTCGTGCTGACGCCTCCAGTGACTTGTTCCACGGGGGTACCAGACTCGGTGGTCTCAACAGGTGCTTCTGGACTTGCAGAAGTGGGAGATGGAGTTTCTTCTTCAGGGGTAACGCTCACAGTGACAGGTGTTTGAGTCGGCGCTTCAGAAGCAGGTCCCTCTGGTCTCACTGTCTGTGGTTCACTCGTCTGAGGAACTTCAGGGGTCTCGCTAGTCGGCACTTCTGAGGATGGCTCTTCAGGAGTCTTCTCAGCAGTCACTGGTACCACAGTCTCTTGTTCCACAGGCGATTCTGAGCTTGCTGGTGTCACTGGCGCCTCAGTTCCAGGTTTGACGGCTTCACCGACGGGAATTGGAGTGGTCTGTCCGCCCATTTGGTTCTCGGCCTCGAGGCCAACAGTTGGTGTTGTGTCGCACACCCACATTGGACAGCAGGAGTCAGCAGAGTGGATTGGCATGCAGTCGGTCATGTGGGGAGGTGGTGGTGAGCATCGAACAAGTTCGCAGTGAACTATACTGCTGATGCAGTGACAGGACACTTGGCAGGGATTAGCCGGTGGAATAGCTGAGTTGTTGCCGTAGCTCTGGCCGTCAACCAGACAATTTCCTTCGCCTGGAATTCCGGGAGCGGTGTGTTCATCGGTGCCTGGAGCAGAAGTGCCTTGAGTGGGTGCCTCGGACGCTGGGATTTCCTCTTCAGGCTTTTCGGGCACTTCAGGTTCCACTGGCTTCTCCCCTGGTTCCTCGGGCGTCTGCTCCTGTGCGGGAGCCTCAGTAATCAGTTTCTCTTCACCAACTGCTCCCTCAGTTGCAGCCTCGGATGGAGCTGGCGGGGTTCCTTCCGTCGGCTTCTCTTCAGGCTTTTCTGTGATTTTCTCTTCAGGTCCTTCGGTGATCTGTTCCTCAGGTTTTTCTGTGATTTTCTCTGCAGGTCCTTCGGTGATCTGTTCATCAGGCTTTTCTGTGATTTTCTCTTCAGGTTTCACGGTTGCCGCGGACTCAGTTACAACCTCCGGAGTGATTGGCTCCTTTGTTTGCTCTTCAGGAGCTACGGATGAGGGTTCGCTCGACGCGGGTTCGGTTGCTCCTTCCGTTGAAATCTCAGGTTTCTCCTCTGCTGATTCACTGGTACCTTCACTGATTGGCGATGGCTCGGTTGAAATTTCTGGAACTACCTGAGTTGGTTTCTCAGTGGGGGCTTCTGTTTTCTCTTCGGGTGGACCGGGAGTTTGATCCTCAGGGGCTTGAGTAATTGGTTCTTCAGGTGCGGGCACCGATGGAGTTGCCTCGGGTCCTTCTTCAGGCTTGTGTTCGGGCGCCGATGTTTCCTGTTCAATTGGTTGTTCCGTCGGTCTTCCCTCCGTCACTTCGGGAAGAGTCGATTCAGTTGCGGCGGTCTGAGCTGGCTCGTCTGGTCTCTGCTCAGGGATGGCAGTAGGAATCTCGTTAGATTCCGTGGGTTTCTCTTCAGGGACTGCGGCTTCCGTTGGCTTCTCTTCTGCAACAGGAACTTCAGTGGCACTCGGTTCCTCGCTTGGTTTCGGTCCTTCTGTGGACGGCTCGGCAGGCTGTTCAGATGAGGAAGGTTTTTCCTCAAGTATAGCTTCGGTCACCTTCTCTTCAGGGGCTGACGTCTCAGTGGGTCTAACCTCTGGAATCCTCTCAGGTTCTCCTGTCTCACCGGAACCTTCAGTTACTGGTTCTTCAGCCGATTTGGTTGGTTCCTCTCCGGTAATTGGGCCTTCCGTTGGTTTTTCTTCAGCAGTTGGACCTTCCGTTGGTTTCTCTTCGGCAATTGGACCTTCCGTTGGTTTTTCTTCGGCAATTGGACCTTCCGTTGGCTTCTCTTCAGCAACTGGACCTTCTGTTGGTTTCTCTTCAGCAATTGGGCCTTCCGTCGGTTTCTCCTCAGCAATTGGGCCTTCCGTCGGTTTCTCCTCAGCAATTGGGCCTTCCGTTGGTTTCTCTTCGGCAATTGGACCTTCCGTCGGTTTTTCTTCGGCAGCTGGACCTTCCGTCGGTTTTTCTTCGGCAGGTGGGCCTTCCGTCGGTTTCTCTTCAGCAATTGGGCCTTCCGTTGGTTTTTCCTCAATTGGACCTTCCTTCGCTTTCTCTTCAGTAATTGGGCCTTCTGTCGGTTTCCCTTCAACAGTTGAGCCTTCCGTCGGTTTCTCTTCGGCAATTGGACCTTCCGTCGGTTTTTCCTCAATTGGACCTTCCGTCGGTTTTTCTTCGGCAGGTGGGCCTTCCGTCGGTTTCTCTTCAGCAATTGGGCCTTCCGTTGGTTTCTCCTCAATTGGACCTTCCTTCGGTTTCTCTTCAGTAATTGGGCCTTCTGTCGGTTTCCCTTCAGCAGTTGAGCCTTCCGTCGGTTTCTCTTCAGCAATTGGACCTTCCGTTGGTTTCTCCTCAGCAATTGGACCTTCCGTTGGTTTTTCCTCAGCAATTGGGCCTTCCGTTGGTTTTTCCTCAGCAATTGGGGCTTCCGTTGGTTTCTCCGCATTTGGACCTTCCGTGGGTTTCTCTTCAACAATTGGGCCTTCCGTTGGTTTCTCTTCAATTAAAACTTCCGTGGGTTTCTCTTCAACAATTGGACCTTTCGTTGGTTTCTCTTCAAGAATGGGGGCCTCCGTTAATTTTTCATCAGAAATTGCTGGTTTCTCTTCCGCAAATGGACCTTCCGTCGGTTTAGCCGCATCAGAAACCGATGGCTGTGTTGGTTCCTCTGAAGAGATCGATGACTCCGTTTGAGTGGTTCCTTCTTCAGGCTTCATTTCAGGAGTCTCCGTCTTCTCCTCGGTTGATGGTTCCTCAGGAATTTGTGGCTGTCCAGTCACTTGCTCTTCACCAATTGCTGCTTCGGAGGATGAAATCTCTGGGGCAGCGGTCATTTCCACGGGTTTACCCTCTTCAACTGGTGCGGATGTTGCAGTTGCCTCAGAAACATCCGTGGGTGTCTCGCCAGTAACAGTGACGGGCTCCTCTGCATGTGGTGCTTCAGTATCTTCCTCAGACGGACTCGGTTGTGGCTGACTGACTGGTGCCTCTTCAGTAGTCTTTGCTTGCTCTTCAGATTCGCTCACTCCCCCGGGTTTTCCTGTTTGTTGTTCCTCAAAGCCTGGGGCTCCAGTGGCACTCTCTGTACTGATTTCACCTGGAACTTCCGTTGGTTGCGCTGACGGGGACTCTCTAACTGAGCTGGGGGACGTGGGGTGCTCTTCAACCTCTTCTGAAGAAGTCTCTTCGGAGCTTGTTGGCTGAGTTCCACTGGGTATTTCAGAGCTCGTTTCCTCGGAACTGGTTTCTCCACTCACTTCCAATCCCTTCGTCGGCATTTCCTCGGCAGATGACTCGGTGGATTGGCTAGATTCGGTTGAGGCCTCTCCTGGCACCGAGGCTGCTTCAGTGGATGGAGGAATCTTCTGGATATTCTCACTGGGAGTCTCTCCAGATGCCTCAGTGGATTCAGTCGATGGAGCCTCCGATGATTCAGGCTCTGCAGGCGGCTGTTCTCCCTCTGGTTTCTCCTCTTCAGGTCTCTGCTCTCCCTCAGGCTTGTGCTCCTCTACCGGCACCACTGGTTCACTAACTCCTGGAGCTTCGGTCACCAGACTATCAGGCGCCTGAGTCTCTGCCTCCGTCTTATCGTAGCCCTGAGTCACGTGAACTTCAGTTACGGATTCCTCGTCTTCGGCCTTTCTCTCTGGGAGCTTCGGGGGAACGGATATGCCAACAGGTCCTTCAGTCGGTATCACTGGGGTTTCATCCTCTGGCTCCTCTGTTATCTGTTCACCAGATGGTGTTTCTCTTTCCGCAGGCGCTGGAGTCATCTCAACTGGTTTTTCTTCCGGTTCAGCTGGTTTCTGCTCCTCAATTGGTTTCTCCTCATCAATTGGCTTCGCCTCTTCTTTTGGACCTTCCATTGAAATTTCTTCGCCCGCAGACGTCTTCGTTACGACTCCCTCAGTCACAGCGGCTTCTGTTGCGGCACCTTCTTCCGGTTTTTTCTCTTCGCTCTCTTTAGCTCCTTCAGTAATGATTTCAGGCTCACCAACAGTCACGCTAGGTTCAGTTGGCTTTGGCTCTTCGCCTTCAGGCACCTTCTTGTCTTCCTCGACTGGTCCCTCTGTTGGTTTCAGCTCCGTGGGAATTTCAGGTGTTTGAGTTTGCTGCTCTGTCGGTGTCTCAAGTTCAGGTTTCTCTGTCGCTTGCTCCAATCCAGGTGCCTCCGTCGCCTGCTCTGCAGGTGCTGCAGTAGACTCCGCAGGTTTCATTCCGAGTTCCTCTTCTGGAATTTGATCGTCTTTCCTTGCGGGAATCATTGGCTTGGTGCTTGAGGGAGTGGGACGATGAGTGATTTCTTCCTCAGGTTTCTCTGGTTTCTGAACCTCCTCAGGCTCCTCTGGTTTCTGAACATCCTCGATCGTCTGCCCCTCTTCCTCTGTAATCTTGTTCTCGATCGCTGGAGCCTCAGTCTTTTGCTCGTCGTCTTTGAAGGGACCTTCGCCTTCCGTCACAGCCGATGGCTCTGTCGTCTCTTTCGGTGAAGCTGACTCCTTCTCTGGCACTTCATTGCCCTCGGTTGATGTGGCACTCTCCGCAGGCGTTCCTTCAGTCTGCTCAACTTGCGGAGGAATTGCATTGTCAGCACCTGGGAAAATCTCCTCTGGCTTCTGGTGCTCGTCCTCACTGTCGACTGGCAGTGGTGCTTGTGTCGCTTGGATTTCGTTCTCGTCTGGAGTCACTGGGTGCTGCCCCTCGTCCTCGGGCAATCCGCTATCGCCTTCTGCAACGGGAAATTTACCGTAAAATTTCATTACAATAGAAGATCAAGTGCAACCGCAGTAGTGCAACCAGTATTGAAAAATTAAGGTCAATGTGAACCAGATACCGTAGAAATAGATTTCCACCACTATCTTTGATCTATCGGGACGATTCGATGATGGAAAGATAGAAAAACCACTGAATACGTGAGGCACGGAATGAAGAATGGCTATTTCGAGCGAAAATTGGTGCGAAATAAAATTGATTCTCTTACCGCATTCGTACGTGGTCGGACAGCACTCGCCTTCTGGTGGTGGCAGAGCAGTGCAATTCTTGCCGTGTGTCTTCATTGGACTTCCACACTCTTGAACGGCACAGGCAATGTCTCCGCGGAAGCAGTAGCAGTGCTGGCAGGGTTGTGATGAGTAAATACGGTCACCGTCGTTGTAAACTTTGCCCTCGTGGAAGCACTGAGGTGAGGCGACACCAGGGGCCACTGTTGTTGTCATTATCAGGCCAGGTGTTGTTCCAGGTTCTTCGTCGTATTCTGAAGGTCAATTCATTGTTAGTCTTTGATTGTCTTTTTAAAAAAGAATAACGTTTTTTGTCAGCAATATACTCCACCATGCTCGACTTAAGGGGTAACAGAAGGCCATCGTTTTTGCGAAATTTTCAAACAAATTTCCTGCTCAAAGTTATTAATATTTTTCGAATCCAAAGCACATTGAGAATATCGATAACTTTCGGCAGGAAATTTGTTCAAAAATTTGGAAAATGAACGGCGCTCTGTTACCCATTAAGATTATTTCCGTCCTAAACTTGAATATCTTCTTATACGTGATGAGAAAATATGTATATGGCAGATTCGAAACAGTAATTTTATGATAACCAACAACTATTTAAGGTTTTTTTTCTAACGAAAGGACGGTTATGTGCAACGGTTAGAAAATGAATACAGGCGATTATGCAAAATGACTTTTCGACTGTTTCCAAATGATTTTATACTGTCTTCGAACGTTAAATCCTTGGAATTCCAAGGAAATTGTCGATTTTTGCACTCATCTAGTGGAATTGCATAGCTTGTATCACGACTCCCAATTTGAAGTCTTAGGTGAATGCATGAAAAAATATGTTCTTTCGAAGGAAGAAATTTATTTTTAATTCAATGAGGTGGAACAATGAAATTACCTACAATTCTGAGGAAAAAGTACGTTTTAAGGGTCTAGGACTAATGTAACCAAAAAATTGATTCCATTGCAATTTTTTTGAAAATTCAAGATTTTTCATTAAAAAAATCTATGTAACATTTTTTTGTAAAATTGAAACTAGCTGTCAGATTTAATTGAACAGGAGATAGAAAAAAACTTCCATCTGAGGTTTGTCTATTATTAATAAAGTTACAAGGCTAAAAATTTAGAACAAATCTCTCCTCAATATATACAACAAAGGGTAAAGGACTAATTGTTGGGTCAACGCACAGCCCAATCCAAATTTTGATGCCAAAAACCAGGACGATATTTGGGAGAATCTGTCATTATATACATAATATAATATAAAAAAATTATTATTATTATTATTATTTTTTTTTTTTCAAAATATTTAAATTAAGATTTTCAAGTTTCAAATTGACATTTTCAAGTCTTAATATTTGATACATTTAAAAATCCAAAGTTGAAACTCTCGAAAGTTTCAATTTGAGACGACCATAAGTATCAATTCTGTAATGAATTGGTAAACTAGGATAAATGCATTTTTTTTTTAATGTGTTTTTTTGGTTAAATCGCTACCCAACAATTTGTGGAAGCCATTTGGCCAATTTTTTTTCGAAAAAAATGCACTTGTCCTAGTTTACCAATTCAATCTCAAATTGAAATAGTTTTTTTTGGGGGGCAGTCCGAAAACCGACCAAGACGCTGAGTCATTCTCAGTTGACCTAAGACCTAATTTTCTCACGCGGGTATGTGTAAACATAATGCATAAAGAATCATGAAAATCAAGAGCCACCGAGTAACTCACCACAATTGTATTTGACTGGACAACAAATTCCTGGATGATAAACTGGTTCGCAACCCGCCACTTTGAGCGTACACTCCTGCATGAGACAAGTCGTTCTATTTCTAATGCAGTAGCAAAGTTCACAAGGATTATTGGAATCTGTGGGTAATTGTGCGCCGTCGGCATAGAATTTATTATTAATGCTGCATCCGTAGTTATCGGGAAATCCGAGTTCAGTTGAGTCTGTTGATGGTGCACTAGTCGTTGATGTTATCAATTGTACAAGTACTTCGGGACACGTTATCACTGGACAACACTGGTCCGGACGTTTCTCCACTCTACAATCCTGACCTATGGCCTTCGTGAATGGGCATACGCGTAGGTAACACATCAACATTCGATTGTGACACGTGCAGTTCAAACATGGCTCATTCGTCAGTATTCTCTCGCCTTCCCCGTAGTGTTGGAAGTTATAATAACATCCAGTAGCAGCTGTCAGGAATAATGTCGTATTTTATTATATGATTCTAGGAATTGTCTCGTGAAAAACAATTGTTGAGAATATTTTTCATAATTATTTTACTACTGTTGTGGCAGTAGAAGAATCTTAATGGTACAAAAACACAATTCTATTGACGGTCAATGGCTTGAAGAAGAGTTATGGGGATCTTTTCGATTTTATACGGTCTATCATTTTAGTTTTTTTATTCAACGCCTAGGTGAACTTACAGCCTTGGTACTCGGCAACTTGTGTGGCATCCTCGTCGTATACTGGCGCTGTAAACAGAAATAATTGCGTCATTATTTGAAGAAATTCAAACATTCTGTTTCTTGAACGCTATTGTTGCTTCTTCAAAGCAAAAACATATACAAATGGCTCATTTTTTGAGTCAGATAATAAGGTGAACAGTCCAATTGCGGACCCCCCCCCCCCCTCCCCCAATTAACGAAACACTTGAATATTTTGCCAGATTTCAGGAATATTTACCGATCTATCGAATCGATTTCTTTTTAATCAAGTCAATATTTCCATCCATGATATGAGAAAATTTATTTATTTTATTGTTAACGGAATTCGTTGCAAGTCCGAGAACTTGCGACTGGCTATCGCCCGAGGGCCTTCAGTAAGGTATTTACAAAGTAGTATAGTTTGACAATAGTTTGACAATTAGAAAATAGAAAGTAAGGAAAAAATAATAAAATGTGGAGGAGTGGTTTTGCATAGTTGAGAATGATATAAGAGTGGTACAACATGAGACGATGCTTTGGTGAGAGAGAAAGTACACAATCTACTGGTTTGAGAATATATTTGGTGGTCTATCTGATGTTTTCCGCTCAAAAATGAAAAAAACTCCGCCAGCAGTCATTTTTTAGCCGTTTTGCGACAGGTGAGTAGTTAGATGTGACAGTGTGATTGGGTTAATAATCATCAAATGTCATAAGTCCAGACTAATATTGATCCTAAAAGCTACATTTTTTCATATTTTTGCATTCATTTCATCCGAAAGCTCTTATTTCTACAAATGTATGGGCGTTCCGCCATTTGGGTTGGGTTTTCATGGCATTTCCAATCGACGGAACACTGATGTTTTCGTTTGGCACGTGCCGGAGTGGTTCAGCCAAAAGTATATAAATAATTGATAAGTGGGAAATATAATGACATTTATGTTTGTATTACTTGTTAAATTGTTCTGAGTCGAGTTATGTGTTCATGTGATCGCCATTACTCATTTTTACGTTTGTTCACTAGTGAGAGTTTCTTTGCATAATAAAATTTGCATCACAATTCCAATTTTTAATTGTAATCTGAAGTTGTTGACATTTTTCTACAAAAATATCCTTATTACTACGGGTTCCTAACCTTTCGCCGTCTCACAAAGTTCTAATGTTCCGTAATTGGGCGCACGGTGTTCCATATTTGGAAAAAATGTTCCGTAATAGATCCTGTGGACTTGAACATAATTTATTATTTTTCCCGATTATTTCTCGATTCAACATAATGTGTTCTTTTCATAAATCTACTGATTTTGAAATCGACCAGTATTTTTTTACTTCCGACTGGGAAAGCTTTGTAATCGTTTGAATTTAAGTTTCAGATTTTTTGTGTTATTTTGACCCAGTATGATCCAGAAAGTTTTCCTTCAATTGTTTGCTAATGAATGGATGGAATTGAATTTTTTTCTTTCAAATGTAGGTATTGTTGAGCCCTATCAATCGCCATTAATTAAAATTTAATTCATTGATTAGTTGTTTTAATTTTGGAATTTCTTCGAAAATCGGGTGTCCCACAATAATTTAAAAAAATGTTCTGAATTGATTGAATGATGGCTTAAAAAATTTGTTTAGATGTCCTTTTGACCGAATTCGAAGGTGAAGGTGATAGCAATAATCGGTATTTTGATTTGTTTGAAAATTTGCAAAAATTTTGTATTTTTTGAAAATCAGAATTCCGGAGACATCTTTGAATATCATACTTCAAATGAATTCAATCATAGCTTAACATGTTTGTTTTAATGCCATTGAGTCAAAGTTAAAAGATGATTATGATAGCTATATTGGTTGATTTGATTTTTATGATTGTCGAAAATTTCGAATTTTTCATGAATTTCTCTGAAAATGAGCTTTCTGATGGTTTCTTCAAATGTGATGTTTCATATTCATTCAAGTGTGTATAAATAAAATTTTTCTATTAACATTTTATACAGAAAAAACGGATAATAAGAATAATGATGATGATAACATTCAACTAAGTGGAAAATCTGTCAAAATAAGTTGAAAAGAAATCTTATTGAATTTAACAAAATGAAATAAACAATGGATTATACATGATAGAAGGAAATACTGTGCAAAATAAACATTCGAAAGCATATTGCTAATTTATTAGCAAAAATAATTGTACTATATTCAATCCAAGAGCAATTTTCCATTTGTTTTATATTTTTTCAAACAATAGTTCATTTTCAAACCATTGTCTGAACCTCCGAAGAGCCTTGAGTGTTCCACAATTAGTCAATGAGAAGAAAACAAATCCTGAGAAGATTCAAGATTAATTCCGACTCTCAGAAATAATGTTCACTGAATAAAACGTAAAGCCTGGTATAATCGTTTATCACTTGCAATTGCCAGTGAGCTACCCCCGGGGAATTGGTATAGGGAAAAAAGTGACGGAGAATTAAAGTCAAAGAGCGTCATATGGTCCTGGCGTTGTCCCCATTCTCGTTAACACCCTCGTGTGCAAAAGCCCTCGAATAATGGGCTTTGAGTACTACAGAGATTCCCCTCTTTCACCCATATTTTTTTGTTTGTTTTGTCTAGAAAATTTCTGGGGAAATTAAAGTGTCACCGCCGTTATTCATCATCCCAATTGTTCAGAATCTCCATCCCCTTGATTGTCAAATTCATCCTTTCAAACGCGTCGAGAACATTTTTCTCGAATAATTAATTCGTAAAAATATTTATTAAACCGACAATATTTAGTCTTTTATTTCTAACACTTGTTCCAAGAATAAACCAACAACTGCAGAGATTTCCCATGCATGACTGGACTACTGAATATTCTAATTCATTCTCCAGTGACATGGAAAAGTGTATTTTCTCGGAATAAATTCAAATGGATAACTATTTATCGGATAATTTGAGTTAGAATTCGAGTCTCGTTGAGATTCCACTGTCAAATGCACATATGAATCTTTATGACTGCTATTGTATTTTCCCATCAAACAGGTGAGAATAATCGACAGCTGAAGCAGGTGAAAAAGAATGAGGGCCAGAAAGGACACAAGAATTTAAATAAAATACTAAGATAAGGACAGAATATATCAGCATTCCACGAGTTGTGGACTTTGAGACACGCACAGACAATTTCCAGCGAATCGAATTGTACTGGGAAATGTACAACTCCATGAATGAGGCATATGTGTGCATATACGTATGTCCTTTTTCCCTTTCTTTTATTTCTTTTATTTCTCTTATCCCTACGAGACTTGCGTTCTTTCACGAAGTACTTCACACGCGCCACGTACCGATGGTGTCACGCTTACATTCAACCAAATGAAATTATGTGGGACGATGATAATTGTTAATGTCCATTCATTGATTTCAATTCAGCGGTCTCCAATCACTCGAATAAATCTCACTCCTGGCCTCTTAAATTCTCGAGAAATCTACCGTTAACTGTCGGGGACAAAATCGCCGACTGCGCCATCATTCCTCTTCCTCCTTCTTTTTGCAAAAAGCGGGAGCTCAAGAATGTGCTAATATGTGTTTAGAATTTTCGCCATGAATTAACCGAGGGTTTTGCCCATATAAGACACTACCACGTTCGTGATCAGGATATTTAAGATGAAAAAACGCTCCAGAGGATCGTAACAATCACTCCTAAATAGACTGTTCACGATGACTATCAATGTTTGGGTATAAGAAAAGGACGATCAACGGACAAACATGAAATCGAATCGATCAGAGACGGATTCGGATGCTTTTTTTTCTAGACATTCAGATGAAAAGAAATTGATACCATCAATGGACTGGAATGGACGGGTCATTCACCCCGAAAATAGTACCTCCGATTTTACGCGTGAATTGATACTTTTGGCCCCAATCACAGTGAGTTCTTCTCTCTTATTTCACTGTTACAAGACCGGCCGCGTGACTTCGTGACGTGATACGTAACCGTAAGGAGTGAAACAGTTTGATTTTCACGAATGTCTGGCTTGGCGCCCTTACTCCTGATGAATTAAGAATGTGTGACATTTTTTTATTCGCATTTTAGGGTCTACCATCACGGGTTTATAGGCGCCTCACTTCGTCAGCCTGGGGAGGCCTCTCCTACTCGACTCTTCGCATTACCACCCCACTTCGTCTGCGTTACCGTGAGTAGAGCTACTTTAATCGATGAATTAAATTTTAATTAATGGCGATTGATAGGGTTCAATAACACCTACATTTAAGAAAAAAGATTCGATTCCATCCATTCATTGGCGAACGATTGAAGAACAACGTGGTTACATACATTCATTCAGAGCTACTTCAACTTGATCTCCCAGTATAGAGATGATTTCCAGAATAACCAACGAGATTGACCGGAAGTCCAACAGACTTCTCATCCAACTCTAATGATGATTTTTATTGGTCCACCTGTTGCGTTGTTTACGTTTATTATCCAGTGAGAGTCACTCGAAGGATATTCATTCCAGTGGTCAATCACATTGCCAAGACTAGACGACCTCGTGCAGAAAGTGATGGGACACGAAGGATAGGTTTTCAGTTCGTGGTGCACGCAATATCCTCACCGCAGGATAAAAAAAGAAAAATATAATAAGTTTGAACGAAAGACATGAGGTAAAATAAATCCTGATCACCTGAGGCTAGGGAGTCGAAATGTCTATCGACGTTGCAATCCCTTTCCCCTCTCCTCAGAAGGTGTAATGTTCACTGGAGCGTACGAGGGGCACGCGGTTGATGGTAATGAACTTTTACTGCGAGTGTGAGACAAGGCCGCGCCGGCAAATGATTTCATAATGATTCGTATTTTCAATGTAATTCAATGATACTCAACAATAATTCAGTATTTACGGGTGACAAACATGATGGTAAAATATTGACGGAGCACTGATATAATGTTAATCCTTAAAATCGCTCTGCCCTTCGGCCGGGCTAATACGCTGTACTTTTGGATATTTTCAGTGTTTAATTTTTTCAACTAAATTGCATGGAAAAAATTTGAAAAAATTCAGACCCAGTCAGTATTATCTAAATTAAATTTCGCAAAATATTGA